TTCATTATATACACTTTAGCATATTTATTTTCAATGTTTGGACTCTACATAGTCTAGCACTTGCTTACAGGAGTGAGGGTGTGAAGGAAGCTCTGCAGCTCACACATCAGTCCATCTGTCTGTCCACTCACTGCACCAGCCACAGTCACTGGCCTTTTCTTACCTGATACTGAGCTGTTCTGAATGGCACTGTGTCATTGCTTGTCTGTTAGAGCTTTTTGGTTGGTTCTCGGATAAATTTCTCATACAGAATCACACATATTTTACTTTTTCAATGTTAGTGAAGAAGAAGGGTAGAAAATGGAAATTCTGAGAAGGTTGAAAACTACAAAGAATTCACTATGTCATGCATGTACCTTGTAAGGTCAAATAACTGTTCATTCATTTCTATTTCTTTCAGGTCTAGATTGGTAATTAGTCCACAAGACATAGTCAGTCCATCCCTGGAGGTTTATCTCTTAAGTCATGAAGGTGAGAAGTAGTTAAGCAGTGTGGGCATAGGATATTAAAACTTTTGGACCCTCTTGCCCTCTTATACAATTTCAGAAAGAATGTACCTGGTGCTCTAGAGAAAAGAATGTAGGATTCAGACAGAAAACTTCCAACGGCAACACAACTTTGCAGATCCTCCTTTGTTGTCTAGTAAATCGTCTCCAGAACAATGCCTACATAGAACTGTTAAGTAATGAGCAGGAGCCACAGTGCAGCCAATCAGGGAACCCATAGTTCAAGATGTGTAAAGACTCAGTTCGAAACATTTCCAGTTCAAAATCTGTGATACAAGAGGCCGTGTCTCCTCTACCAACCCTTCCTCGGCCATGTAACATGATGAGGATGAGAAAGAGGGAAACTTCCTGAAAAGGACACTTTAAAGGGAGTGTCCAGGAAAATGGGAATGCTTTGGAATAGCATGCAATGGAATTACAAAAATGCATGTGGGAGACTTCAGTGGGCACAAAGTTTGACTTCCTAGCTGTGTAATTTTGGACAAAAAAAGCTTTTCTCTCTCTGATACATTGTTGCTGTTTCCACAAGCTGATACAGAAATTAAACCAAAGGAAGGGTAAATGTTCTTTTGCAGCATGTGTTCGGTAAATTTGATTTACCGTACCTCCTCGCTACCACCAGTCACCCCACATTGGCCAGTAACAGGGACTCGTCTTTCACACAGCAGTTTTGTGTAAGGTCTTACACACTATCCGACTGGAATACCAAAAAAAAAAAATGAATGAAAGTTTATTGTGCTGAAATATTTATACCAGACCTTAAACATAAAGCCCCAAACCATTTTATCAAAAGCTTAGCTTCATTGACAAGCACAGCAGACACGGTAGGCATTCTGTCAGTCTTGTTTTCTCCTTTAAGGAAAAAACAAACCAGTTCTCATCAATCACTCCGTGGAAGTAGTTCTAACACTCTAGAGTAATATTGAATGTGATATTCTTTAACTCTTAAAGAAATAGTATTATTAATAAGACTTTCTATTGAATCTCCTTGTTTTCAAGTCAGTTGACCAAGGAAGCAATGAGTGCTTACTGGGAACAGGAGTGGAACTCTGGGAAAAAGAGACCCACAAAGATAACATGCAAATTTGACCCCAGTTTACAAATGCAGGTAAGGGGAGCAGTAATCATGGTAAGGAGGCAGTGTTTCAGATTCAAGTTTGAAAATGACCTCTGGGTTCTACCAAGTGAATCGTGTCTAGTATTAGAGTCAGGTCATTGATGCAAGGTCATTCTTCTAATATGGTAAATCTATTTTTTTCAGAGATAAATATTGAAATGATTTGATAGCTCAAGATTTAAGGCCATGGTTTGGGCTGCCATTAGCCTTTGGCATTGCTGCTGGAAGTATGGCAGTATTGTAAACTTCCTTCTAGATGAGAAAAATCAGCTCTGCAAAACAGCTATGCTACTCTCAGTTTTTTTATGGGCAAGAAACTGCCTTTGGGTAATGCGTAATTTTCAGGAGCTTTTCTAAAACAAAAAATAAGGGGGACTCGACCTTTTTCCGGGACAGTAGACATGTGTGAAGCACTTATAAAACACTGCTAAAATTGCTGTTAGTGTTCATGACTAACATGAACTTAAATACACATTGTTTAAGTTTATATTATAAGCACTCATGCTGATATCCAATTTCCTGTATATAAGCACTGATAAGGGGAATGGCAGCAATTTGACTTCCTAAGAAGCAATTGCTCAACTCTTCCTTGCCCTGGCTGTCTTGAACAACAGTCCTGTTTGTCAGCCAACTGATCTACTCATATACCAACATCAAGCATCTTCAATAGTCCATAAGTGCCTTGAGACATCTCTGCAAAGGCTGCAGCTAATTTCCTTGGCTCACAAGGGTGCACCCTGAGCCAGAGCTGTTTGAAACTGTTTGCATCAGACCGCTTGCTGTCACAATCTTGGATGAAATCCAGATGATCCCACAACCATTTCCAACTCGGTCAGAGGAGGTGCAAATCTCCTAGCTCTCTAGCTGAGGGACCACTGTGACTGCCGCTGAGAGGCAATTAAAAACACAGAGCAACAGCTCTAATGGTTCAAGCAAATGACTGAGATTGGTTCAAACACTCCTCAGGCTGTTTAGAAAGGCTGCTCATGCCGGGCAGTGGTGGCGCACGCCTTTAATCCCAACACTCGGGAGGCAGAGGCAGGCGGATCTCTGTGAGGTCAAGGCCAGCCTGGTCTACAGAGCAAGTTCCAGGACTGGTTCCATAGCTAGTGTTGCAGCACTGGGCCCCAATCAAATGCTTCTCTTGAGCCTTCTTTCCTAGACTACTTGTGTGGGCAGAGATGGCAACAGGAAAGAAGAAGTAGCAGAGATAAAGAAGTGCTTTGGAGATGATCATGACAGCGGCCGAAGAATGGAAGAGACATCAGTGGCTAAACAATCAGCGGGCCATGCTATGAAAACTGGGGGACAGCTGAAGAGGCAGCGGTCCCTAACATGTCTCTGAAGTGGTGATACACTTCTCTTTACAGAGAAGTTGTAGTTTTCCTGGTGTGGGCCTGGCCGGACAGCACCTGAATTAGATTACTACCCCGAACCCAGGATGACCCGGGCTGTGACAGTAGGCCCCATTCAGACTCTTTTGAACATACACAGGATTCTCTGGCTCACGCTATGCTCCTCAGCATCCCAGCTCTCACACATTGTGCCCTGGAGGGAAATCTGACTATAGGGGACCATTCTCAGGCTCAACAGGAAGGCACTGCAATTCAGCTTACAGCAGCAGCGGATCTGTGGAAAGCAGGTAGGTGTCCTTTGAAAAAAAATAAAAAAGCTCTGTTTTTCTTAATAAATTCTTCAAATCAATCAATGAATAAATTGTAAAATAATTCTTCAAGAAAAAAAAGTAGGGGAGGGAATTTCCCTTAAGGTCTTTTCAGGATCCCTTAAGGTCTTTTCAGGCATCAGAAAATACAGATTCAAAATCAGTGTACTGATCCTCTAAGCAAAAAACCCACAAGCACCAAAAAGGATGGATCCCACTGCTTAGCAGTTTTCAGGAAGCCCAGCGCTGCTGTGCAGATAAGTGAACCATGACTAGCCTTTTCTTGCTCCATATTCAACCTCCTTTAGTCTAAATATTCGTGTCTATTTCCATCTCTTCACTGATATCTGAAGATCAATACATACTCAATTCTTTTTTTTCACACTCTATTCTTAACATCTTGATTAGAGAATGCTTAAAGAAGATGCAGATAGCATACAGGTTCACGTGGGTAGCTACAGCACTCAGAACTTTGCGTTCTTTGCTATAATAATTATTGATACGTAGTTATTAGACACGTAAGCAATATTATAAATAATAGTATGAATACATATGAAACACTTTATCTTCTCCCCAATTACGACTTTCTCTTAATATTTTCTTACAACATCCCTTATGACAAACAGGAAAAACAGAGCCTACAATGTTTTATAGTCCTAGGCTCCTCACATCATATCATGAGTTCTTTCATAAATTCTACAATCTTTTTCATTTAACGTAGTAGAAAACAGAGCTAAAAATGATAGGAAACTCCTTCTCTCTATAGTTAATATCCTGAGAGTGGCAGAGACAGGATTTAAAGTCAAGTCCCAGTACCTTGTATTTTTGCAGTCTTCGCCACAACACCATCCTGTCTATTTTTCTTCATATAAAAAACTGTTGACACATTTAGCATTGAATAGATCTTTCTTTCTTTAAATGTAAAGTGGCAAACAGTGAAAATCCAGTGCTAAAGGGAAGGCATTTAGCTTGCCATGGAGACACTGGTTGGAGTCCCAGAAGGAGCTTACTATGCTGGCCTCTTTGAATGACTAAGAAGTCTGAAGATGCAAATCTCCGTCCATCTTACATGAGTCTGGAAATTTTATATCTGTTGTGTTTTCCTAAAAGTGAAAAAGTGCATAGTCACAGCTGTATGTACATATGCAAATGGATGTGTGAATATACCTTTGAACCTTCGAGAATGTCAACATCATCTACCATTATCAAACTGTGCTCCAGATCCCATTCTAGGCAAGCATATACAAATACAATTACACCTCTCAATTCTTCCTTTGCCAAAACTTCTAGAACACTATTTCCCTTTCAGACTAATATCAATATCAACTATACATACTCATATTGTTCAACTGTGTGATTTATCTTAACCTCTGAAAATTCTTATAAAAATATATGCTATTTTTTAGAAATATTGACCCTTCCAAAAGTTTAAAGGAAAGCAATTGATATGTTATTCATACAAGGGTTTAATGACAGTATGAAGATAGTATTGGCATTGAGAAGACCAAGGTTTGCTCATTCTGATTCTTCTATATACCAGTTATGACTCCTTGGCCAAGTGATTCAATTACTAGGAGTATGGGTTTTATTTGCTGAAAATAATGTCTATGTTGCAGGATCATAATGATGCTTGCAAGTGATGTCTATAAAACTTATTCTGGGTTTTATATTGTAAGGTTCACGAAGAGAAGCGGTGTCACCAAGTGCTGTCAGCCATGTTTTCATTCAACATATTTGATCACCCTATTCCCCAGGTCTTCCAGAACCGCTTCTCTACGCAGTACTGCTGCTTCTCCGTGTCTATGCTAGCAGGGCCTAATGACAGGTCAGATGTGGAGAAAGGAGGGAAGATAATTATGCCGCCCTCAGCCCTCGATCAGCTCAGCCGGCTCAACATTATCTATCCCATGCTGTTTAAATTGACTAACAAGAATTCAGACCGAATGACACACTGTGGTGTACTGGAGTTCGTTGCTGATGAAGGCATCTGTTACCTCCCCCACTGGATGATGCAGAATTTGCTGTTGGAAGAAGGGGGCCTGGTTCAGGTGGAGAGTGTCAACCTTCAGGTGGCTACCTACTCTAAGTTCCAGCCTCAGAGCCCGGACTTCCTGGATATTACCAACTCTAAAGCAGTATTAGAAAATGCATTGAGAAACTTTGCCTGCCTGACCACTGGGGATGTGATCGCTATCAACTACAATGAGAAGATCTATGAGATGCGGGTCATGGAGACCAAACCTGACAAGGCAGTATCCATTATTGAATGTGACATGAACGTGGATTTTGATGCTCCCTTGGGCTACAAAGAACCAGAAAGACCAGTGCAGCATGAGGAGTCAATAGAGGGAGAAGCTGACCACAGTGGCTATGGTGGAGAGGTGGGCTTTCGTGCCTTCTCTGGTTCTGGGAATAGACTGGATGGAAAGAAGAAAGGGGTTGATCCCAGTCCCTCCCCCATCAAGCCTGGAGATATTAAAAGAGGGATTCCTAATTACGAATTTAAGCTTGGTAAGATTACTTTCATCAGAAATTCACGTCTATTGTTCAAAAAGGTTGAAGAGGATGAAGCTGGGGGCAGATTCGTTGCTTTCTCTGGAGAAGGACAGTCACTGCGGAAGAAGGGAAGAAAGCCCTAAGTCCAAAACTGTCAGCTGGAAAAGAAAAGATCGTTTGCAACAACAAAAAAAAAACTTATTCTGTCGTGTATAGGTCAACATAGACTTTAAAAAAAGACAAAAGTATCTTACTCTGGACAGAAAAAACTTAATTTTCCAGTTCTCACTTATTGTCTGTACTTTCACATATGAAATGACCTTGATCATTATATGTCTCAAGTCAAATATTGCATCATTCATTAACTTAACATTTGGTAGTAACATAATTTGTTATAGTGCCATTCTGGCAAATAAATAAAAACAAAAAACAAACAAATAAAAGCTGTTTATGTTCTAAAGGTTTCCCTCTCTTTAATGGATGAGTTAAAATAGCATTATGAGAACTGTGAGACACATTCAAAAGGAAATCAGGCCAATGACTTAGAAGGCCAAAGATGTGGAGAATGGGAATCAAGTAAAGGCCACCTGGAGGAGGTTACAAAGAATTTCCATAATAAAATAACAAAAAAGGTTAACACCTGTAAGTCAAAGTGACCTCCCTCTTCTATGAACCTTTGTTGTTGTTTATACCTCTATCTTAACAGGCTTCATATTGATCCAAGTAACCATTTAATTACCTAACTCTGCTAGCAGAAAGCAAGCAACCTAAGCATAGTAAAAGAAATAAATTGAGTTTCTCTAATGTGCATTTGTTATTCACCTTTTCTGTAAGGAAATACATTTAAAAATAACACAGTGAACAAAAATTAACTTTTGCTCATGTTGAGACAGTGTGATCCAAGTAGCCTTATGTGGTTGTGTAGAATTTCAAGGTTGCAGGGTGGTGCCGTAAAGGAGTTTCATCACCCCCTGGGTGACAGGAGGTAGACTACATGAGGACGAGTCTACCAATAAGGGACAAGCTGTAAGGACCAAGTGGATCTCCTTCCTCTAGGCAGTTCCCACTTTCTAAAGTTTCCAGAGCCTCCAAAACTAATGCCAGTCTCTGGAAACTAACCCTTCAACCTGCATGTATGTCTTTGTACCAACTGCTTGTAGGGCATGCAGAAGCCAGAATAGGGTGTCATATTCCCTGGAGCTGGAGTTACAGATGGTTGTGAGTGAACATAGTATCAGAAACAGAAACCTAATCCCCTGGAATAGCAGCCAGTGCTTTTAACTGCTGCCTCATAACTCTAGGCACCTAAACTAAGTCTTAATTTTAAAATTCTGGTTCCAGAGTTGTCCAGATTTCTGACTTCATGAAATGATACCTTCATCTTCCAATGCTGGTTGCATTCATACCTGCCTTGGAACATAAGTGGCTCACAGGCCACAGGTTGGACATGTTTGCTATGGTGTAGTCTTTTCCAAACAGGGCTTCCCTGGTACACATGTGCAGTGCAAATTCCATCCTTGTAGCACCTCTTACCATCTTACCCTTAACTTTTCATGAGCTTTAGAAAATGTTAGAAATTCAACACATGTCAGGACAGGGCATCTTTGGCCTCTAGTAATGACTCTGTGGCTTTCTTAACAGTGTTTCATTTTGGCTGGTTTCTCCACTTACTATTTGATTGGAGAGGTAGAATGGAAATTTTCTTTGGTTGGTTGGATGATTTCCTCTTTTCCTCTTTGATTTAACAGCTTTAACCTCCACTTTCATTTTGATTCAATTTAAGATGTGCTTGTTCAATACATTGTCTGGAAACCTTGCCAGATTACAAATAAGCAATTTCAACAAGAGTAATAAAATTGAACAGTGTATAATGAAGAACATCAATTGTAACCCTTGCTTGACTTCCTACATGGTCTTGTTGTATCCTTGACCCAGGATAGAGGGTAAAAGAAAATATAGAAGGATTGCTTTGCTTACAATAAAATTAAATGTTTAATGATACAATCAAGAGGATGAGAGAGCCGGGCGATGGTGGCGCACGCCTTTAATCCCAGCACTCGGGAGGCAGAGGTAGGCGGATCTCTGTGAGTTCGAGACCAGCCTGGTCTACAGAGCTAGTTCCAGGACAGGCTCCAAAGCCACAGAGAAACCCTGTCTCGAAAAACCAAAAAAAAAAAAAAAAAAAAAAAAAAAGAGGATGAGAGAGAGAAATGGTAGCAGTATTTAGTGCGTGGCAGGTTCTGTGCCATAAGATACTTACATGCTATGACAAACCTACACAACAGGTACCATATCTGATTCTTTGCAAGTGAAAAAATTGAGGCTCAAATAATTTAAGATTAATTAAAATTTAAGATCGAGATTAATGAGATGATGGAGCTGGACTAGAAGCCCTTGACTATCTGACTTTAATGTCCAATGTCATAGTTCATCCAGTATAAAACTTAACTAAATGTAGACTGAAAATCAGAGGACATAAAATATTACAGGGAATTCTATAACTTACCACAACATGGGACTAATTTTAGTAACATCAATGTAATGATTCAATATAAGATGTGCTTGCTAAATTCATTGTCTTGAAATCCTGTCAGATTACAAAACAGCAATTTCAACAAGAAACTCAACATAATCTTCATATATGTGATATATAAATATACACATTCATGTGATGTACATATATGAACTCAGGAACATAGATTTTCTGAGAAGCACATCATTGACATTACATCAATGGAATTTCAGGTTGGATATTTTCCCCAGTACATTTATTTTGAAATGCGGATGCTATCTTAAGAAATTTCATTTCTATGTTAGAGATGCCCCACCTGAGGACATATGAAACACTCTCATTGGGGTCTGCATGATCCTAATGAATACCTTTGTGAATGCTGTCACATTCAAGCCTTTACTCCTCTTTGACTTCCTAAGTTAGCTATTCTGCCAAATATGTTCCTTATCATCATTCCCTTGATTAATTAAAATTGTGATAACCAGATTCCAGACTCTAATATATTTGGGGAAGATGTTTCTTTTTGACATTTTAGACTATTGTAATAGGAGAAAGAGTGTTATTTTTTTAAAAAAATTGTTCAACTTGCCATAGTTTTTATTTCATTGGTTTTTTTTGACTGAACACATTTTTTTTGCATTCTGAAATGACAAATACAATTCTAACACATTCCAGATATCTGGTTTTTGATTAAAAAGTCACTTTTTGATTATGTTTAATTGTAAAGCTAATAAATCATTAAACCCTTCTATAAAAAGACTTCAACAAATGATAACTGTTATTAGCATACAATATTGACCAGTTTAATATTTATCATAAGGGTGTTCCTGACCTTGGGGTTATATATTGTGTGGGGAATAGTTTACTCTGTACTTCCAGGGCACAGGTAAGGTCAGCTGACTGGTTACTTCATCTAAAACCCTGTATCATGGGAGCTACAGGCTCAATTCTCTGCTAGTCAGTTGTACCCTTTGCATTGCTGAATTCATATATTTTCAGGTGGACTTTTCCAGTGAGCAACAAGAATCACAAACAGTCCTCGATTGCTGAACGTCATTGGGCCACACCATGACCAGACCTGCTTTCTAAATACCCTTTTTTAACTACTAAATGCCTCTTTTGGATTGATAGGAAGCCTACCCCAATCATTCATCATACTCCTCCTCTGTGTTCCTCCTAACCATCCTCTGAATGATCGTCTCTCTACCAGGTCTATTGTTTTTCTGAAAATTAACAAATGAGTTTTTTCTTTGTTCTGAGAGATTTTACTTTTGGTCAGTTTTCTCTCTGACGAAACAGAGACTAATAGACCAAAATAACAGCCATCTGAAGAGGCAGAGGTTACCACGGTCAGAAAGCCACGAGGCACTGCCTCTTAATGTAGCACAATAGCGGAGTGCTTATGAGGATGGACCTGAAATCCAACTCCCTTGGTTCGAACTGCAGTTTCTGTCATTCAGCTGCAAATTCTTCAGCAATTATCCCACCTGCCTATGCCCCAGGGTCGTATATAAAGTGAAGACTTACACCGAGGATGCCATTACTCAATGCAAAGTGTCTAACAAATCTCTTATTCCATATCATACACTTAATAAAGGGCCATATTAGATTTGATTGACTTTCTTGTACAATATCTATCCAAATACCCCTTCTCTGTTAATCTTTGGAGATGGCTTCTCAAAGATTTCTCTTTCTTCAGAATTCATTCTTAATATAGCTCAGATCCTAATAACAAAACTGTATATTTTCAGGGCAATCAACGATTTTAAGATAGATTAGACTCGCTGATCCCCTTCATGCTGTGTGGTCTTGACCTAACCCCCATAAAGATGATTAATGAGGGAACATAATTTAAAAGGCTCTAGAGGCAAGTTTTCTAGACAGAAATTCTGGCTGCATTCTATTTTGCTGAACAGGATGACTTGAGGTCACCTTAGGCAAGGGCTTAACCATGTTTTACATATGGGGATTGCATTTTTTTTCCCAAAATTTATACTTTTGGAAAGAAAATTACCCGAATCTAATCAATACTTTGCAAGATTGTTAAGTAAGTAGTTATTAGAGAAAATAATGCCATTTTTGGTTAAGAATTAATTTTTAAAATTGCCCATATGTTAGTATGTGGTGTGTGTGTGTGTGTGAGCCTGTGTGTGATAACATATTGATTACTCTGATCAATTTTTGGGGTTACATAGTTCTACCTGTTATATTTTAATCTGAAATTACTTCTAAACTTCCTTTAAGAACCTTACAAAATGAATATAGCCATACCTTCTTGAAGTTATTAATGGTTAAAACCCTAACCTATAATTTTAAGGTAAATTCTGGAAACTTTTTATGTGAAAAAGCTTTTCTTAACTCTACTGGTAGTAAGTACACATATATGGGATATAGAGTAAATATAAATAATAATGACTCAATATACTGAAAACTTTTATGGTAATAGAATATTAATATTGAGTACCTTCTATATTCTAGAGAATCATTGGGTCCTGGCTATTGGGGAAAGGGTGGCAATGGAGTACTGTCTTTCAGGCAGTTATAAGCAAGACTAGAAGGAAACTGCCCAAAGGGTGCAAACCTTGAACACGACAGCATCTACCAGCTACCAACAAGTACCAACAAAGTACTTCTGT